TTTCTTCAAAACTATTTTTAAAAAAATTAACCACAAAAAAGCATGTTAACCGGTAACCGCAAAAGTTGCATAAAAATGTATTTTTGCTTAGATTTTTATTTTCCAAAGAGTCCATTACAATTGTTGCAAGAATTCTGATGTCAATACAGAACATATGGTTTGATTTATTGAATTATTTATTCGTTTCGAATATTATTTATGTGTTGGTCGGTTTTCGAGTAGAGTCGAGTTGGATTTATTTATCTTATATATCTGGGTTTGTTGGTATAAAAGTCTTTCGCCTTTTTTGGAATCGTCTCCTCTGACTCATTCTTTATTTTTGTCGATATATACAACACATATCGTCATGTAGGTAATTGTATTTAATTGATACCTACTTGGAGTTGGAGACATACATAAAACACACAAACACATATGTAATTTTTATACATAATATCTTAGATTTAAATCAGTTGTTGTGATAATGCTATATCGCACATATGAAAATTTTAAGAACTCTCAGAAATTACTAATTTTGTTTACACAGTATTTAATTCACAGTATAACAAGGTGATAATAATAATAACTGGAAATTCACACGTAATTTGTAGCCAAATATAGTCTTTTTGGATAAATGATGTTTTTAAAATTTAGTTCTTGAAACTTTATAAGTCGTTTATTGTTTCTAATGACTACATTTTCTAACTTAGTATAAGGTTGTCAAATATCTCCCTTCCGCCTTTTTGTATTATAAACCAATAGCAAAAAAGCGGAAGGGAGATATTTGACAACCTAATATATACCTGACAATAATAAGATTCTAAAGTAACAAATTAATATTGATTCGGATTATCAATAATTTTAGCAACCAGCTGTCGACATGGAACTGTCCTTAATGATTTGTCATTTATTTTTAGATTTTTATTAATATAAGTCAAATACACGAACACATATGTAATTTTATATATAATAATATATAGAAATATCTTACAATTACATAGATTGAAGTCAGTTGTTGTGATAATACTATATCGCACATATAAATTTTAAGAACTCTCAGAAATTACTAATTTGTTTACACAATATTTGATTCACAGTATTTTAAATAACAAAATGATGATAATAATAACTGGAAATTTATTTTAAAATTTAAATTTTTATTTTAAATTCAATTCTTTTATAAAGTATTGCAAGATACAAATCTATTTTGTACAAAATTATAAGTTATAATAAATAAACCCGTGACAAAAATGGAATAAATTCTTTTTAATAAAATGATAATAAAAACCGAAAATTCAAATCTAATTTGTAGTCAAAATAGTTATTTTTGGATAAACTCAGTTCTTCAAATTTTGTTCAAAACATTGTATAAACACCTGACAAAAATAGAGTATAATACTTCTTTTAAATTCCTAAAATTTTATATTTATATTTATTTTTATTACAAACTTTTAATTGTAGTTAGATTTTTTTAAACTATTGCAACAAATTTAAAAAAATAAATAAATATTAAATTGGATTATTAATCACTTTGTAATTTGTTGCCAAAAATAGTTTGCAATTTTTTTTTTAATTATAAGTTATATTCATCTGGCAAAAATTGATTCTAGTTTTCTTTCAGCTATTTTGACTGATTCATTATGATAATTAATAAATTAATAATGATTTGTATTATTAATCATTTTACAATCCAGCTGTTGTCCCAGCTAATGATTTCACATTTATTTTTAGAATTTTATTAATAAAAGTCAAAAGGAAATTATTTGAGTTCTTTTCTTCCAATGTAACCGCTTAAAATATTTTAGTGGTTAATTTTTTCATTTCTAAAAATATATTTCTGAAGAAAATTAAGGAAAAAAACAGAAATAAGCTTAATAATTTGTAAAAAATATATAATAAATTTAACAAGGATGAAAAAAAATATTTTTATTATTTTATTACCCTATCATTTGGATACATGAAAAAATTCATTCCAACAGTTTTGGGGAAAAATCTTTGATAAGATATTGTAATTGGAAATGCAAGTTGAGGAGTAATTTAAGAACGATCTTTTGTAATAAAAAATATGCTAGATACAATTAATTGATGTCTCTTAACGATTTCCTTTTTTTCTTAAGAATATAATAATAATAATATATATATTAAGAATAATAAAATTCGTATTTTTACTTTAATTTTATTATTTTCTTAAGAGACATCAATGAATTGTATCCAGTATATTTTTCATTATAAAAGATTGTTCTTTATTTACTCTTTGCTATAAATATTAAAAATTCGAAGATTTCTAATCGCGTTTCAAGATAAATAGTAAAACATATAGTACTTAATATTTATTTAAAAAAGTGTTATTTTAATAGTTGACTATTAAGACATAAAAATAATAATTTGAATACCTCCGAAAACTTTCGTTTTGGTGCATTTCAAATTCACACGAACATTCGGAACAGAATTTAGCCATTATGTGGTCTACTGGTAAAAGACTGATTGTGAGACACTTTCTAAAGTGATATTTCAAAAAAATGTTATTGTAATTGTAAGTCACACCACACAATTGCAAATTTATAAATAAATTCAGATCTACATATTTGAAGAAAAACATAGAACTCGAGAAACAAATTGAACAAACTCAATGAACAATATATTTAAGTTCTGTAATTGGTGTTCAATAATCGAATATCATTTTATTTTCTTCATTTCATCATTTTATATCATAAATAATCTCGATATCAGGCAGCATGATATCAAATATCCAATTGAAATTATAACCTTACATCAATTATTCCGAAAATCGCCTTTAGGCTATTCTAGGTTTTTTAAACACAAAAAACGTACTGATTGCAATATTACTTTCTTATTAGGTTGTCAACCTCTGTCTAAAGAAAATCCTAATTACAGAAGCCCCACAATATAAGCCTGTCAGTTCAGTTTACAACGTGTTAACCAAGAATATATTATATTATATCATGTAATTACATTTTTATAACGGTAAATCAAATTTAGAAAAATGCTATGGACGCCTAATCGAGAAAATCATTATTTATATATTCAATTGATTTGGGAATAAAGCGGAAATTGATATCAGGTCCTATTATACAATATGTTTTTATTGAAACGCAAACCATTGAATGGAAATAAAAATAAATCAATTCTTTTAAAACCAGGGAACTAAGAGTTCAACTCGTTTAAATGGATATTATTATAATAAAAGATATAATTGAGTAAATAGAAAGCAAAGTAAATTAACTAGTTTTCAAAAATGCTTTCCCATACGTTTCGAATCCCAATATGACTCTACATCAGTGGTTTATATCAAATAATTTAGTTAAAAATAATAATTTTTTTAACTTCCCGTAGGGCGGGTTAAAGTTATCGCAAAAAAATCGAAAATGATTTTTTTATATATCTTTACGTTTCAAAACCTTCTGAACATTGGAAAAATGGATGGACGTATGTGTGTATGTATGTGCGCGTGTATGTGTGTGTGTGCGGATACAAATTTCTTATCGATGAGGAGACGTGATGATTAGTTTTTGGCGAAGGCAGGTCTAGCCATTCCGAAGATACGGGGTAAAAGGGGCCGAAAACGGTAACTCAATTTTTAAGAGAACGGAGCGTCCGATTTGAATAATTTAAAAAACATTTACTTGTATTAAAAAGATGAAAAACTGATCAAATTTTCATGCAAGCAGGTCTAGCGGTTTCCAGAAAGTTTCCAGAAGTTCCAGCGATTTGCCTTAAGGCACGATGCCATGCGCCCCACTAGTTTTTGCCAAAATTCTGGATGAAAACAATCAATAGAAAAATACTTGGATAACGATCATCTCAGTAAAAAAGAATAAACAATATTTATTTTAAAAAAATTAATATATAAATGACGTTCAGTCTGACCAAAATTTAAACGAATTTTACTAACACGACCTTTATTCAAGTAATTTTTCCCTCAATGTTGCTTTTATTTCTATATGTGTTTTCCTAATAATTTGTGTATGTTGTATATAATTTTTATTATTTCCATACGTTTCGACAAATGATTTTATGTCATCTTCAGTGAACTAAAAATTGGAGAGAATAAAGAATACAAAATGAATAAACCATGAATCAATGTAAAGGATAAAAATGAATGCGAAAAGATTTATAAGTAAATTAGTTACAAGTTAAATCCATGGTTTCCAAACTGTGGGGCGCGATTCTTCTGAGATCGCAAAGCATTTACAGGGGAGGGGGTCGTACAGCTTAATTAGTTTCAAATTATTATTTTTGAAAATAAGCTGAAACTGGTGAAATAATATAAGAAAGAAGGATTATATCATTATTTTTATGTATGTTTTTGAATTATATTGTTTATCGAAATTTGCAGAATGATAATAATATCAGTTGAGTATTTATAAAATTTGCAATGTTAAAAAAATTAAAGGAGGCAACCATTTTATTAGAAACAAAGATATGCGTCACGAAAAGGTTGGAAACCACTGAGTTAACTAGAAATTGGAATCTTCACATATGTAAATCATCATATAAAAGACTCAACGTTTGTTATAGAAAAATTAAGAATTTATTTTTGTTATAAGATTCCTGTGATCTCTCATACCAGATTAATTGGCCGACTAGAGTACAGAATGTTTGAATTATATAGAATAAATAAATAAGAAAAATTTAAGTTCCGAAAGGATAAAAATTCAATAATGTAGGTGTTATGTCAAGGATAAAAGGAAAGAAAGTCACTGGTCACATTGTAGTTACAATGAAGATTTTATAAACTCTTCGAGGATCTCGATCTTTCGTCGGCTTCACGATGTATTGTAGCATCTAAATTAAATGGTCAATTTGCGGGGCTCGCCGATCGGCCATCGGAAATGCATTGTAAATTAAATGAAATCGCTCGAAAACGCTCGCATGTCCATTTAAAGGCCGCGCTCGTCCGATCAATTAATTGCATCCGTCGAATAAAAATGACGGCCGAATGGAAACAATCAACTCAACTCAAGTTCATTACAAATTACATTATTATTGCAACAACTCACCGTCCGTTCTTTTGATGTTCACATTTAATCCGGACTCGATGAGACATGCACCCGAATCCATTTTCGTTGAATAGCTCGGTCGTCCGCCCACAAAAGTTCTCTGGCATCAAAAAACTATCACTAGGATTCCACTACACACGCAGGTTAAAAAAATAAATAAAATTTAACTAGTTATAAAAACGGGTGCTCCGGGCCCGACAGCACCCGACAGACAAATTCCGACTCCAGGATTGGCCCGATTTGTGCAAAAATTTCAGATTTTTTATTTTGACAGTTAAAGGTTAGAGTGAAAACGCCATGAGTCAGATAGCGTTCAACGCTTTTACACAATATTTTTCACATACACGACAAATTCAAAGTGGAAAGGACAGAGGAAATGATGGATTGGAATGGAATTAAAATGAGTGCAACTGAAAACGTGGGATAGATTTAAATCGCATCGCACAATCGCACTCCGAAATAAAATTCATAACCGAATTGACACAACACATTGCACAAACTATCGTTGAGACATTTTTAACCTCATTTTTGCAAATGGCCGCTCGCAGAACACCACGCGGACGGAACCTGAACTACTTAGACGTCAAAGAAACAAACTTTATTCATACGAGGTGAAAATCTCGACTACAATAAAATAAATTCAGTCTTATCAATGGTACTATATATTTCTTTATTGTAAATACTCCTTTACTACAAAAATACTATAGACAGTGTACAATAACAATATCAATTTTCTATTTTGGCAGTTCAATTAGAAATGTTTTGAATTCATCTATAATACTTGTTCCGCTTCTCATCAAACATTTTTCCATTAAAATGTACCTGTACCTATATAATTATACTAATATGTGAGAATTTTCTCTCTCGTTTCGAACACCATAAATAGTTTTTTTGGTATACATGAATATCAAAGTATTATGTCCTTAATAAATAATACTATATGTAATAATAATAATAAAAACTATATACACTAAACATTAATAGTAATAATTACCCTTGTAATTGAAACTAGTTAAGCAAAACAAACTGGCAGAATCACATAAATCAATTTTTTATATATTTCATCTGGGTGCTTATTTGTCTAGAAAAAATATAATTTTATAGTTGAAAATATAAAAAATATGTTTTACCTTAAGACTTTTGCTTGAGTTTTACTAAATAAAACTGATTACAACAAAATTCTTGGTACGGCATAACAAAAATCATTTAATATAATTAGCTTACCTAAGTGCTAATTGATTCCTACACCTTTTAACACTCACAACATACATTTTCTGCGTTTTTTCTTTTTATGAGCCGTCAAGCTTTCCTGTCCAGAGTCTTCTTCAGAACTACCGCTTGAAGAATCATGCTTCTTTTTTAACTTATGATTATCAGCTGATTTGTTTTCTGAGTTGCATTCGCTTTCGCTTGAGGAGGACTCAGATGAACTTGATGAGGATGAGGAGGAATTGCTTGAACTATCTGAAGCCACTCCGGTACTTCTATTTAGATCTACCATGACTGCTTGCTGCGCCAACTCTGGTTCTTTTACCTAAAAACAAAAACAATTCTAATAATCTAATAAATTTATTTTAAGTAACAAAAGTATATAAAAATACAAACCCTCAACACATTTAACCATTTTTTGCTCAGTTTTGGTCTACCACGCACTGTCTTGTGCCAAACTACAGGAAAATTGGTTCTTGAGCAGAAATTCTGTGTAACCGCTATCGTGTCATCTAAATTAAGAACTACATGCCACCAGCCTCCAGGTACAAAAACAGTTTCGCCTGGTCCTTGCAAAATCTCCATCTGTAATTTAAAATATTAGTATAATTGTAAATAATAATTCTTGTACATGAGTCATAAATAACTTGATTGAGTACTCATGAAATTGTTTATGAATTCTTCAAGCAAAGAATATCCAAATATCATTGTTGATAATATTTTTATTGTATTTATTAATATTGGACGTTTAATTACAAATCATAACTGTATTTATTTTACTTACAGGTTTACAGTCTTGAGGCCAATCCGGCAATTTAGTTTTGGGATAAATTACACTAAACCAAGTAATAGCCTCATCTCTCTGCTTTCCACCAATCATTCCAGTAACTTTAATCAATTCTTTTGGAGTATGTGTTGGAAACAAACACCACCTTAAAAAATAATTGAAATATAAATATAAATCTGTGTAGTTAAATACACAATAATTTATCAAACCTTTTATGTCCTTGAACTAGAGCATTCCAAGCACTCGTACCTAAAGGATCAATATGAATACCTGTTCCAGATCGGGCTGGCCCCATCACAAACCATCTGTATGGTGGTCTACGTCTTTCACCAGAGTGTTTGAATAGATCATCACGAAAATAAATTGGCACAGTGTAGTCTTCAAGTAACTTTCTTCTTCTTTCATGCTAGTAAATGACACAATAATATATGTCCAAATGCATTCAAGATATCAATATTATATTAAATGTTAATACTATGTTTCTTCTACTTACTTCACCAAAACTGCTATCAAATATGTACAATGGACTGTCATCCTGTGTGTGCTTCATGTATTCGATATAATATTTCATTTTCATCTTAACACTGTACCCTTCATTGTCTTCACCACATTTAAACTTCTGATTTCTGTATTTTTTGGCAAGCCTGTCCATGGTCCACTTATAATTAGCCCTCCAGTGCTCCTGACACCCTGTTATAACCACCGGTTTATATATCTTTTCGTATTTGTCTATGAATTCTTGAGGTGAGACTTCATTTTCACTAATTCTTTCTACATTGTCCGTGAAGCGCCTGAAAACATCGAATCTTTCGGCGTAATTTAGAGCGTTCCATGATCCTTTCGTATTTAATTCTGGAACAATAAAACAAATAGAAAATGCTTAGTATTTGTCCTGACAATTGGAGGTTAAGAATTTTGATTATGATATGTACCGGGCCGAGCTTTTCGTTTTGCTTCTTTAATTCGCTTTTTGGCCCGATGGCTCATTTTAACATGTTCTGTCATTTCTTTTTTTGTATATAATTTAATCAGAGTTCTAAAATAACAACGAAATACGAAAAAAAAAAGTCTTATAACCTGAAACGCAAAGATTCAATGTCACGTCAGAGTGTCAGACGCAGATGTCAGATTCATCGAGAAAACAGCGTCGCCATTAAAAGGAATAATAAACATAAATTAATTAATAATTATGCTTGCAACCGTATTATTTTTCTGTATAAAATAACAATTTGTACATTGTATATCATCACGTATCGAATGAAATGTATAAACATATAAAATACAAAGGTAAAATAAATAAATTTTGCGCGCGAATTTCAAATTTTTGCAGCACTTGTCTTTGAATTTGAACAAAAATCTTATTCTGGAAATATTTATAACTTATTCAGATGTAAGTGATTTTTTGCCTTAGGCCAAGTTGCTTAAATTTTCCGAATATATCTGTCGAATATTTGGCTTAAACAATGATTATTAAGATATAGCAACTTTTCAAATTGAAACTGTAACATTTTTAACAGTTTAATTAAAATTTACGCTATTATTCTAAATTTCATTATATTTTAAGTACACTACATTTCGCAGGCTTTTAGTAAAGATGTTCGCCGTTTTTGAAGAAAAAAACGTTTGCAAAAATCAACTCTTATACATACACAAACTGTTTTTAATTCTTGTATTAAACTATTCAGAATGGTTTCAAACATTGAGAAAATACACACAACACTTCTTTTACTCCTTTGGGTAGTTAATAAAACCATCTCATTTCATCTATTTCCATATATTCATGAGTCACAATCATGAGTGAACAAAAGTTTCTTTAAATCTATTAAGAAAAAATGTATTGCTGTATAAAATTTTCAAAAAACTTGATTAAAGATAATAAAAATGGTTGTATATGAATTTAATACTAAATGCTAGCCCAATATGAACATCATATCCGACAAGGTACACCCCCATTGCACCGACAAAGCATCTACACTAGAAATTATTAATCACTAATTAATATATACACAACTAGTTACAATTGGATTGGTCCAAAATGAATAATATTAAAAAATCACCGTTGTAATGGATATATATATATATATATATATATATATATATAATAAAAATACTATTCTAACCTTAATTGACTGCTTAGGTACAAATTTGAGATATTTGTGAGTACCTATGCATACATATATACATAAAAGGTACATATGTAAACAAATTATTTTCGTACGTTCAAAAAAATTCCCAAACATCACAAAATAACACTTCTAATTTCATTCGAATCTTTTGAAAATGTAATATTTAAAAAAACGTGTCATCCTTTAAAGCTTTAAAAATTGGCAAATGTTATTAAAACCTACAATATTCTCTAATGAAATCACAAATTTGATTTATTATTATTTACAACCTTTTTAGTCCCACAACACATGTCTAAAATATAATCCCGGACTGGCTGATAGTACTGATGTCTTAAAACTAGCATTTCAGGAATATTCCTCATTGATGATAAAGTATCGGTTTCGGTTTCAAATAACACTATTGCTGATATTAAAAATATCAGCAGGACTGATATGAAAGACGGTACAAATACTCGCAGTAAATGAAACTTCTTAGCTCTCCTCTGCTGGTCGCTAGAAGTCGATGTGGGTGATTGGTGCTCATGATGATTAAGGACAGATGTTACTACTGTAGTACTTGGTTGTGTTAACTGCAGTTGAGAAGCTGCTCCATGCTGTAAATAAATGACATAATTGTATAGAATACGGTTTGAGTTTGGTTATCAATCATCAACTTACAGAAACTTTATAAATAGCCGGTTCAGTTGTATGCCTGCTCATCGTATCAGCTATAGACTGACTTTCTGAAGATGAATGATTTTCAATCGAATCTCGAATGTAGAAATCTCCTGGAAAGGAATCACTGGCCATGTGCATCTCTGTGAGACCTAAAAAAAACACACAATTTTAGCATAATACTTTAAATTACAGTTCAAGTTTGAATCTAACCTCTTCTGTGTAAAGCTAATTGCTCCTCAGAAACTGTTTCTAAAGACGGCAGTCCACCAATTGTATCAATAGCCGATCCCACATCAGTTGTTGATGCCAAAGGGGCTGATAAAGCTGATCGTGGCAAACTGCTATACCCTGCACAAAAAAATAACATCATTACATTTCCCCATACATTTTACACTAATTTTTACTAACTTATGTTTCCTAAGTCAGTTTGGGGTGAGCTAGGTGTAGCTGGAACACTGCTGGCTTTACGTGTGCCATCTTTTGCTGATCCAGAAGCATTTTCATCATCAATTGTTGTACCATCACTGTCTCGTGAGCCATCCCTTCGTTCACTATGCCTAAGTGCTTGGAGCATCTCTCTTTGTGTCATTCCTGTGTATTTGAAGCGTGAACCCCATGAGAGAAATCCTCCACCTGATATGGTATTTGAAGATGAAGAGCTTGGTAATCTAGAAATAAAACAAGTATGTATAGGGTTTGAGGTTGATTAACAAAAGTGTTAATTATCCTTACGTGAAAAAAAGCATTTGTTCAATGGCACATCTCCATAAATGTCGACAGGCTGCTCCAGTAGGGCATTTAAATCCTATTGTATGCTTTTTCTAAAAAGAAAAAGAATTAAAATCAAATAAATATATAAATATAAATCAATATATATATATATATATATATATATATATATATATATATATAATAAAGTTAGAGCTTGAGAATATTATTTCTACTTACATCTGTGTAGGTAAGATGTGCTATAAACATTTTAGCCTCGTAATTCAATTTATGCACTTCAGACCATTTAAAATGCTGCATTCTCTTTCCTGCAGAAAACGTACCAATTCCAGTATGGTTTACACCGAGATACAACTGACTGCCCCTATGATCCTGCAAAATGAAACCCATTAACATCATTAAAACTTATTCCTCCAAGTATTACCAATATTGAATTTGAATAAAGTATCTATCTATCTATTATCATCTTACTTTTACGGGGTGTGGGTCCACTCCATAAGCATCAAGCCCGCTGGCAAGTCTCACAAATTCATCCTTGCATGCTTGAGCCTCTTGACCAGGCTCTCGAGCTGCATGTAGTTCTTTTACTCTTTTTTCTAAGGCATCACTCTGTCGAACTGAGAACCGAATCCTAGCCACATAGTCACCGGTGTGAGTGTTGGAATCATAGTCACCTAACTCATCTGTAAATGATAAAAAATATAAACTTGATAACCAAATCTGATTCTTTAATTGCAATCTGTGTTTGAGCCAATATTAACCTTGGACAATGAGTGCACCTAAAGCAGCGCATTCTCCACTTGAGCATGATAGTCTTCCATGGGCCAAATCTCTCTTGAGCTGGGTGAAAAGGGCACTACGTCCCGTGGGGCCCAAGCAAAGGGGTTCAGCTGGGTAGAATTTAACTCGGAAGGAAAATAAAGGAGGCCAAGATACATCTAGTAATAATATAATGAGAATTATAAGACAGATGTAGATAAATTATTAAATTTGCTTAAATTCTAATTAAATATTTATGATTAGGGACGAGGAAGTATCATATTAATATTTATTCTATTTTTTATGTGAAGATGTAATCAAGCTCTGTGAGGGATTCCAAAAATATCATTGCATACATAAAATCTATCAGCTCAAGAAAAAAAATCTGTGCATGAGGAAACACACAGCTCTGATTTAAAAATAGAAGGCTATTTTTGAATACAGGAATTTTTGAGTATCTAGAGAGAAATTATAACATTAAATAGTTATATACAAAGACTGTTTACCTTTCATTTGCTTTAATATATTTTTTGCTAAATCCAACCAATGCTGCATTCCATAAATCAGAAATATAGTATCAAATATGTAAGTTTTTAAAAAGATATTATATATTCATGCAATTAATAATCTATTTTTTATTTAAAAAATTGCTTTTGACTGTAGGAATATTATAATAATTTTTATTATATATAAAACAATTCATACCCTTTGTCTTGTGACATCAACATATCGCAATCCAAAATAATCCTTCTCAGTGAGCCCTAGTTGATCGCAAACATGCTCCAGGAGATATCTTCCTTTATGGTGGGGCTGAAAAGTAGATAAATAATATTAGAACTATTCATAAACAATAACAAATGCAGAAACAAGTAAACTAGTTAGTAATGAAGGTTAGGTCTTACAGAAGATACATATCTTTCTTTATAATACTTCTGAAAATAAATTTTAAGATTCTACCACTGATTAATTTTTATATATCCAGTTAAATAAATTATTACTTATGATGGAAGATTATTGTTTGTTCAATAATTTTGCAATATTATTGAAGCCAGCAGATTCTTTAAGAAGTTTAAAGTACATAGCAGTATAATAAAGTATAATTAAAATTAGCAAAAACATTTAGATACATTTTTGCATGTCGACTGATCTATAAATTGATAGGTTTGCAATTATTGTACAAATTTGAAATGAATTATAGAATATAGATCAGTATAGATAATATAAAAATAGGAATGGATCTCAACTACACTTTATACTGTCAATAATATAAAGTCCAAAGTGATACTTTTGGACTTATAAAGACCTATATCATAATCGCTGAAAGACTTATACTTGGCAATATTATTTGCTCTTTTGGGGCTCATTGTAGTTTTTCTGGATGCCGAAGAAAACATTTTAAAAGATAGTTGACAAATGTAAACCAAGCATTGTAATGCATATACAAAAGAAGGTTTTGCATTATTACTGAAGAGATGTAGACTCGAGCATGTAAAAATTAAATCTTAAGGCCAAATGTTGATAATTAAACATAACCTTATTACTTACTGTAATTTGTCATTTCAAATTCTTCATGCAATGTATAAACCTTACACTTCTGCATTAAATGTTCAATATTAAATTTGAGTACAGTAAGAAATGTGAAAAATATTCTATATCTGGGAAATAGGGCTTCCATGGCAAAGCTCAAGGGGTCCATAATACACAAAAGTTGGTAGTCTATGTTATAAATAAAATAATATAAATTTATGTTAGTGATATTGATTATGTTAATAAAAATTATAGGTTAGTATGGACCAACTATTTAGTATGTCATATAAAATGATATTTAAATATAAGTATATTTAATAATATTTTACGTACCTGAAATTCACATTCCAAAATATCCGTATCTTCCAACAATCTGACAGTGCACTTATAAACTACATTACTATCGTTCCTGTTTTTAAACATTTTGCACAACAACGAGCATCAGACTAATCACACAAATTATCCATTTATCTTTACACATTTAAAATGTAATTATTTATCCCCATTTATCATTTTATTTTGACGTTTACAATATTAATAATCGAGTTCAACTACTACTCACGAATTCGTTCGTAAAGTGTGAAGTTCGCGCGGGTCGTCCGGCGGGGCGCGCGGGGTGGACAACACGCCGGAACGGAATTAGATAACGCCGCTCTATATTTGGCATGTTATGAAAAATTCAACGGTGCTCTTGACCTCCGCACCTATTTTCGGCGCATACAATACAATAACCGACGGAGGGAATTCAATTATAATATTATTCTCTAGCGCCCCCATGAAAACGTCATCAGAAATGAAAATATTACTAAATAATTTATATCTTGATGACTGAATTATAATTTGTAACATTACATACAAATGTAAAGTACTATAGAAGGTTTCTATAAAATATTTATATTACTTGAAAATCCTGAAAAATAAATGTTTATGTAATTTGATTTGTAATGTTAATTGAAATTTAATAAGCCTGAAAGATAAATGTTTATGTATATAATGTTGAATAAATAATAATAAAATGCAATCAATACTTTTGGGCTTCAATTTATTACCATACTATAATAACACATCAGCTGGCAAATCTCTTCAAGTTCTTTCTTAGCACATAATATCCATACATTAATATAAAATTCATTTTAATATAGAGACAGAAAATAAAATTATTATTCTATAAAATAGTCATATAAAATATAAAGCTGAGTCAAAAAACATATAGTAAAGGAATGAATGAGGCCTTTTTTCTTCGAAACGCTTTGCGATGGAAGTAGTGTTTCATTACAGTGTTGAACATCTGCAGTAAGCAGATCGGTAGATCTAGCTACTTCTTTCCCTTGGTGGCTTTTTCGGCAGCCTTGGTGACCTTACCACCGGAGGCATCCTTGAAGTTCACAGACTTGATGACACCGACGGCGACGGTCTGTCTCATGTCACGGACAGCGAAACGACCCAATGGAGGGAACTCCTGGAAGGATTCGACACACATGGGTTTGGAAGGCACCAATGTGACGATGGCAGCATCTCCGGATTTGATGGCTTTGGGGTTGTCTTCTGTGGATTTGCCAGTACGACGGTCGACCTTTTCTTTGATCTCAGCGAATTTGCAGGCAATGTGAGCGGTGTGGCAATCCAATACTGGGGTGTATCCGTTTGAGATTTGTCCAGGGTGGTTGAGCACAATGACTTGGGCAGTGAAATCGGCGGCGCCACGTGGTGGGCTGGATTTGGAGTCTCCGGCGACGTATCCACGACGCAATTCCTTGACTGAAACGTTCTTTACGTTGAAACCAACATTGTCTCCGGGTACGGCCTCTTGCAAGGCTTCGTGGTGCATTTCAACGGATTTAACTTCAGTGGTCAAGTTGGCTGGGGCAAATACAACAACAGTGCCTGGTTTCAAGACTCCAGTTTCAACACGGCCTACTGGTACTGTTCCAATACCTCCAATTTTGTAGACATCTTGCAATGGCAGACGGAGGGGCTTGTCGGTGGGACGAGCTGGAGGTAAGATGGCATCCAAAGCTTCAATCAAGCATTTGCCGTCAGCCTTGCCTTCTTTACGTTCAATGTTCCATCCCTTGAACCAGTTCATCTTGGTGGAAACTTCCAACATGTTGTCTCCGTGCCATCCAGAGATTGGTACGAAAGCAACAGCTGCTGGGTTGTAACCGATCTTCTTGATGTAAGAGGATACTTCCTTCTTGATTTCCTCGAAACGGTTCTCGCTGTATGGTGGCTCAGTGGAGTCCATCTTGTTGACACCAACGATCAGTTGTTTTACACCGAGGGTGAAAGCCAACAAGGCGTGTTCACGGGTTTGTCCGTTCTTGGAGATACCGGCTTCGAATTCACCGACACCGGCGGCTACGATCAAGACGGCGCAATCGGCCTGTGAGGTTCCAGTGATCATGTTCTTGATGAAATCTCTGTGTCCGGGGGCATCGATGATGGTGACGTAGTATTTGGAGGTTTCGAACTTCCACAAGGCAATGTCAATGGTGATACCACGCTCACGTTCGGCCTTCAATTTGTCCAAAACCCAAGCGTACTTGAAGGATCCCTTGCCCATTTCTTGTGCTTCCTTCTCGAACTTCTCAATTGTACGCTTGTCGATACCGCCGCATTTGTAGATCAAGTGTCCAGTTGTGGTGGATTTACCTGAATCTACGTGTCCAATGACGACGATGTTAATATGAACCTTTTCCTTTCCCATGGCTGTTCTGAAAGTTAAACAATCATTTAGTATTCAATCATAACAAAAATAATATTTACAGCATTAGAATTCGTACAATTACCCGAAGATTGTAACTAACAAACGAAAGAAATCAAATTAAACGTGCAATGACTAATAAGGAATGTAAAACATGAGGCGTATGACACCACAATATGGCTGCCGGCAAAAGCGAATGCTGAGGCGGCCGCCATTACAAGTACATTAATTGCTTTCGGAAAATTTACAAAAACATCGCGATTTATTCGGGGTGCGATTTAAACAGCACTTGAAAAATATTCTACATATGCAACTGCATGTAAAGACATGTAAACCGATAAGATAAGGCGGTGTATCCACCACGTGTGGAAAAATACAGATTTAACATAGAACACCATATTTTCACTAGCACAGCGAATAAATACACTTTACACGATAATTAAAACGAAATATGTATAATCCCAAGCAAGATCACTGTTTAAAATCACTACCTAATATCGAATTACTTTCTTCGCCGGCCGTGTTCTATAAAGAAAGGGGTTAGGGTGCCACGTGCAAAATACAACAAAATACACATAAAATGATAAAACGACAATAATAATGCATAAAATACAATATTTACAATAAAATTAAATAATGAATTCAATATATTAAATTTGTTCGACTTACTTGTATGTTTTCGAGAAGGAGCGTCAAATAACTATACCAGTTCCACAATAGGTGCTGAGAGAATGAACGAGCAATACGTGTGATGGTCGTGGCAACACGATGAGGTTCGCTTTCCCACAATGCAACGTTCTACCGTTTGCGTTGCCAACCTCTGCAAGAAAACATCAAATAATTGCAATTATTTGATAATAATTAGCATTTACATAAAACAAAATAAATAATAATAATGAATATTATCAGAAAAATCACTTATTCAAAGCTTTTTGTCACTAAATTGTATTTTAATTTAAAAAAATTGTTTTATTATTAGTACCTGTAGAACACAAACTTCACAGTGGTTTACACATGGCACAAGAGCGGCATTTTTGAAAAATCAACAAGTACAATCAAATAATATTATTATTTATAAAAGACTAGTATAAACATTTTTATATAATGACTTGGTATTTAAACCATTCTGTATTTTCAAAAGAGTAGCCTTTAGATAAGAGCACAGTTTTAAATTCAGGTATTTATCATATAACAGATAAAAATCTTTTTGCAAGAGGACTTACAGATATTTATTAATTTATTTAAAACATAAACAAGTTCAAGCCTTCAAAATAATTGACTTGATTGACTAATTTAACACAAACTATATGAATATATAAATTGTATAGACACGAATTAACAAGTTTTACTTCAAAATTACATTCAATAAAATTATTAGCTAAAATTAATGTGTATATTTCATTTATCATAAAAACTTATATATTACATTTGTATATCAATATAAAAACTATGATTAATTTAAAAATATATAAAATAGGTATATTTGTTTACTATGTACAAAATTTACAAACATAATAATTAGTGGAGCATACTTATATGGAATGTATTATAAAATTTCAAATTCTACGATTATCATAATTATTGTTCTGGTTTATCTTTTGATTCAACAGGCTTCACTTCTTCTTTTGATGCTATTTTCTTTGGGCTCGTGCTCGGTTTCACTTCAGTCTTTTTCAAATTTGTTTTTGCTACATCATCTTTTGGTTTTTCTTTATTAACAATTGGCTTCACTTGCTTGCTTTTATCAGCAACTGGAGTTACTTTTGTCTTAGCATCAGCAACAGGAGTTACCTTCGTCTTAGCATCAACAACAACAGTTTTCTTAGTTTGTTGTGGTTTTGCCACGTTAACAGTTACTTTTAACTTCGAATCAACTACAGGTTTAGGCTTTGTGTTAATAATAGGTTTCAAATGGCCACAGTGTGGCTCAAATTCAGATACGACAAGTTGCATTTTAAAGAATCTTTGACGGTGTTCAGTTCTATGAACAGGGCCGTCACTTGGTCTTTGTTTCTCCATGGGAATATCATTCTGATGCTTTGCATCACCCTCTCCATTTTCCAAGTTGGGTTTCTCTGGATAATGCTTATCACCTGGAGTACAAAAACAATAAATTATATTCAATCTGGTTTTATCATTGTATTATGAGTATACCTGGTAAAAGATGTATAATTCCATCTTTTGCATTAACAAATATGGGATAGAATAACTTGGTGCCTTTACTACTCCTCTGTTTTGCAAATGTTGCTACATTATCCAGTTGTTCTACTCCTGCAAGCCGGGAAAGTTCATAATGTTGTGGTGGAGGTAACCACTCCTGCTCTTTATCATGCAATTCTAAAAGCTCCGCAGGAGAATTCCACTATAAACAAAATATTAATATCATTTTATTGCTGTCTTAATATATTTAACTAAACTTAAATACGAACTCTGGCATTTTGAACTTCAGTTTTTTCTGCATATACTTCAGGTACTTCATTGACTGCAGCCAAGTAAAAGGCAGCTTCAAAACGGGGTCCTTTTAATGCTGTGGGTGTTAACCAGGCGCTCCATTCATGCGTACCCCATATGTCAGGAACCAAAGAATGGGTCTCACACAGATGTATAAACTCATTATGATCATTATGGACCTTAAAAATGATTTAATTTCATAATTAAATCAAAATCTAGAAGTATATATTCATAAAAGTGAAATTACTTTTGTCTGCCAATTTTTAACTTCTTCTATAGATTTAAAAGTTGCAAATTGAGATGCAACACTTTCATTTTCAGCTTCCCTTTGAATGTCTTCTTTGTCTCTGCACAGTAAAACACCAAGTTCTTCAAAAGTCTCACGTATACACGATATCCGCAATGATATTTCTCTAAAATGATGAACACAATTAAACACATAATTGAAAATACACAATGTACAAAAAGATCATGATGTACAAAAAGATGATGATGTACAAATGATCATTCAAATAATACCTTTTCATTTCGAGTTCACTAGGTTTATATTGGAATATAGGCGGTCTCTCTCCTGATACATGAGTGACTCTTTTTAGAGAGCTGGACGATACTCCTAAAGATTCATATAAAGCTAACCAGTCCCGAGAGGAATCTCCCTTCTCAATTACACCACCAGGAAAAACTAAGCTGCATGGCATAAAGCCTGATTTAGCACTTCTTTTTAAAACCAGAACCTAAGAATAAATTTATGTGACAGAAATATAAAAAATAAAATAAATTGTGTAGTTATATGCACCTTATAGTCAAATTTATCTGTTTTCACTTGTGCTTTGCTGTTTCGGGCTAATAGAATTAATGTAGCTGATTCTTTCCATAATTTTGCACCAGCTAAGGCCATGATGTATCACTAAAAATTTTATCTACAAAAATAATACATAATTGCTTATACTTAACTATGTACATTATAATTTCAAGCTCTAAATTAATAATAATACACGAAAATACAATACATATGTCTAAAGTCTATGGTATGTTTTCTTACCACAGTTTTACATAAAAAATCCAAGATCTGTATACAAAAGTTAATTTTGAATAAAATAAATAAATATTAATGTTTTTTTTCAATTATCAAACCATAATTTAAAGATTAAATAAAGAAAACGATTACGAAACCGAAATTTTATGTGAACATAACCTTGAAATTTAGAAATGTCAAAACAGTATTTTGTTTATTACATCGTTGATGTTTGAATTTGACTGAAACGAATTTTATCGATTGTAAAAGAATTTTATCTTAAACAAAATCAGTACAAGGCCATTAAGTATAAAAATATAACAAATATTCATGATTACAATGTTTATATATTAATAGAAATAAATATGTTATATGTTTCATATATAAGGCACAAATAAAATTAATATAAAATAATTATTACGATGTTCCTTGCTGTGATTTCCATTTTTGTACAATTCTCGATACAGATGATGGAGATTCAGGATTCCAAATAATAAAGCCACGTTTTCTTTTAATCGGCAAATCTACTGTTTTATTATATTTAGCAAGCTGTTCTTTTAAATGTTCATTTTCTTTTAGAATAACATCAAGTTTCTTTTGTAGTTTTGTACAAGAATCACAACTTTGTTTCAAACTTCCACCATCGTCATTTTGTTCTAAAAGTAAACTGGGTATTGCATTTGGTTTCAGCTTTGGTCTCGATGGAATTTTTAATAGTTCGGATCGTAAGTCTCTTTCGAAGTCGTCAGAAGTAAAATGGTCAGAACAAACGTAATAAACTGCATTTTCGGAGAATGCTTTGTCCTTACACACTCTTTTGATCCATTCATTTCTCAAATTTGTGTCTTTAGGAAATCTGTGGTATGAAATTTTTTCCAAAGGATCACCTTTAGTCTTTTGTTGACTATTTTTGCATGTTAAAACTTTGCATTTTGAGCCTCCCATTTATTCGTAATACTCTGAAATATATATAAACAATTAAAAAAATGCGATAATAATTTTTAACCGAAATAATAAAATGTCAACAAACGAACTTGTGTGAAGTTAGATACACCTGTCAAAAATTTTAAGACGTTACCAACAATATGGAATAAAATAATAAAAAAATGTCACATTTTATTTAAATTTAAATATTTATTATAATTTTAACTTTTAAACATTTAATTGAATGTTTATGTATTAATTACAAACCAAAAGATTATATCTATTGTATATAAATACAGTTCATGTTTCGTTGCTGGAATAATGACAAACATATTAAAAGAGGTTAACTTTCAATGCAGGTTATATTAATTTCCTCAATATTTATAACTTAATTCTTTATTAATTACGATTGTCAATAATCACTCAATAATTACTTTCAATCAATTTATTAGAGTAAGTTCTGTCCTTAACAAAGAAGTTAAACAATATGGAAAATCTGGCATGTTCGATGGAGAACTGGATTCTTGCTGGAGCTCTGATCAAGTAAACACATATAAAATCCTACCACAATATTCACAATTCATTAATTACTATCCTTTCCTTTACAGGGTTCACCTCAATGGATACATTTAAATTTCACAGAACCGGTAACAGTTTCTAGTTTTTCAATACAATTTCAAGGCGGGTTTGTGGGCCAAGACTGTCATGTTATGTTAATAAATGAAGATAAATCTACTTCAGAACCGTTTTATCCTGAAGATAATAATTTGCTTCAGCATTTTAAATTGAGTCAATCGGTGCAAGTGAAACAGCTCAAGTTTGTATTTGAGAAAAGTACTGATTTCTTTGGACGAATTATAGTTTATGATCTGTTGGTGATGTCGTGACATTTAATTTAGGTAATTGCATTTAAATATTTGTACATTTGTATAAAAGGGAATAAAAGATGTATTTTATTGTATGAAATGATTTATATTGGTTTACGCAATATATAACAAATATTTATACTTATATTTTAGGTAATTTCAATTTGTTGGAAGCAAGTTTTTAGAAATTAAAATTTAAAGACTTGTATATAATGACTATAAAATTTTGTACTTCAAATGTTATTTGATTTGAATAGGTAATAACTTATGTGTTTATTTTGTTAAATTAATATAAATCCAGTAGACTAAAAGTCTGTCAATAAATAATAGAAATCTATTAGTTTACTTTTGTTAGATTTATTCATACTTAGTTCTTGAATTGGATAAAAACTACATAATCAAGTTGTAGATGTCCCCAGTATTAATATAAATTAAAAACTTCTTCATAAATTTATTTTCAATCAAAATATCATTGTATCTTTTAGTCTACATGTAAATTTCAAATTCCATAGCTAAAAGCAATACATATTTTAAAAAATCGATTACAAACGCAAAAAATAAAAATTATTCTTTATATGATACTAAATAATATTTTGATATTAACACTTAGATTGCTTTTGCTTGAAATTAAACGTAAAAGGCAGAGGCAACCAACATTTTGAATAATCGAAGAAAATAACTATTTTAATATTATTCTATAATAACTGTAAAACTATAAGAAATTCTGAATTAAAAAAATTGACGTCATTTTCATTGTTTGGCAAATAATTATTGAAAATATAAGAAAAATTGTAATATACACAAATATCTTTAAAGCTCTTCTAGATTTAAATTGTTTAATATTTATTTACCAAATTAGATTAACCTTTAAAACTATATGATAGAACTATAGTTCATGTTTCATTGCTTTAATTAGATTGATTATTATAATTATTTTAAAATATTAATTAATAATTTTAAATATCTATGAATACAGCAAAATGCTTTGTAATCTTCTTCAGCAATTATAGAAAAATATTAAAATAAATATTTATTAAAATAAATTCATTAATTCATGAGTACTATATAAGTATATTATAATTAATATATTATTGATTCATGTGAATCAAAAAGCATTATTGAATATAATTAAAAAAACGTACGATTTTATAAATAAATTGTATAAAACATGATTAAAGTAATAAAAATTTTAAAAATTCAGTTTAAAATTTAAAAATTCTTATACAATCCAGAATATTATATAATATGATTCTGTATAAATAAATTGTATAAATAATTAATAAATTAATCAATTTGAAAATGATTTTGATACTCAGAATCATAATTATTTATACAATATAATAATTATATTATATTCACACAATAAATTAATTTATTTTTATACAGAATTACATTATGTAATTAAATTTCATTCAATTATGTTTAATAATTCTATTTAATTCATATTATATATATAAATATATTTAATATTAAATATGTTAAAAGCTAATTCATTTCTAAAATAATTTTAATTTTTTGCATAATTTGTTGAATATTTTTTTTGAATATCAATATCAACTACAACTGCTAAAAACATCTATTATCATTAGATAAAAATTAAAAATAAAGGAAAAGTATTTCCAGTAATAAAAAATCTAAATAAATTAAAATCTTTGCCCTAAACTGCAATTAGCATGAACTTTCCCATTAGTATGTATAAAAAATTGTTTAAATCAATAGCAATCAAAATTTGGCAACTCTATTTTAAACTTTAATAATTTTTTATTAAAACCAATTTTCATAGATCCATAATATTTCATTATCTTCTTTAAGACCATGAACTCTATCAACATATAAATCATATTTAAATTACATCAACCACCTCCATTAATCGACAAACATAATTTTACCAATGCCACAAATGTGAATCAGTTTCTAATTAACAAATTAATATTAATAACCATTAACCGTAGGTTGTGCACCCACGTAGCCTGTTAATAAATAACACGTATGGTCAAGTCAAACAAGTCTTTCCCGGTGCTCCCCGGGCCCCCTTATAATGGAGTCTCGGCCGTCACGAGAGTGACATACGAGCCCGGGATATGAGTTGGTCGTCGTCGTCGATGTCGATTTGATGAGAAAAAAATTGAAATGATTCATTTATCGAGAAACTGGTCCATCCAGCATCCACAGAGACGGCAATGGAAACAGATTTATCATTTTTACTTGCGACACCGACTAAAGGGGCTTCGTTAATTACGTTTCTTCGTATATCAGAGGAACGGATTAGTGTTGGATGTTGAGTAAAGGACTCGTTTTGAGATATTTGTAATGATACAAATTGTATTGGTGATTAATTTGGCTTTTAAGATATTATATGTTGAAATTGTACATAAAGTTAAAAATATATTAAAATTTTGCTCTAGTAGAGGAAGCGCCATTGAACTCCACATAAGAATTTTTAAATTTAATTCAATGTAATAATTTAACGAAAAAGTTATTGAACTTTCATCCAGAAATTAAAATCCAATAAAACAAAATTAACTTTTTTTAATCTACCATAGATATAGAGTCCGATTTTTATCATTATAAAATAATATAATAAATAAATTATAAATTTATAAAATAATCAAACATTTATAAAATTAAGCCCAACACTAATGCCAAAAAAGGAGGCGTTCATTAATCACGTGACCGATTTTTAAACCTCTCCTTCCCTCATCCCCAATTCAACATCCGTGTATTTTTAGTAATTTTTTTTTTAATTTGAAAATTTGCTTTATTTGACTTAAATACATACATTGATTTTTACATAAAGATACAAATTGTATACACCTATTCTGGGAATACCATTATACTATCATAATATAATATTGTTTGCATATATATATATATATATATATATATATATATATATATATATATTGTTTCAATTAACTTATAGAATATTTTTAGTACTTAATAACGCTTTTTTTTAATTTCTTGTAAAATTTTAAAAAGTAAATACACGTAAAGGGGATGTTTATTAATCAAATGAGACTTAAAAAGACCCCTCATTTGGAGGGGTTTGACAAAAAATCACAATATTACGTGTGGGGAGAGGAGGAGACTAGTAAGATATCATCATCGGTGTATTTATTTTATACAAAATTGAAAAAAAAAACAAAATATTTTCAAAAAAATATAACGTTTTTTCTAGGTATATACTAAAAATACACTTGATGTTAGATAGGGGAGGGGGGATGTTAACGTTAAATATCACCAAGGGGTACAAAAATTCTTAAAAGTCGATCACGTGATTAATGAACGCCCCTAATATTCTACTTATCTTAAAAATGTTAAAAAAATTGACTATTTTATAAGTTTTAAATATATTTAACTAATGCAATTTCTAAATAATAATTATTTGCATTGCAAACAAACTATAGTTTGTTTTTTACTCTTATTTAATTATATTAAATTTGACTTTTGTATTGCAATGTTTGTTACATTAGAGATAGTTTCCAATATATTTATAAGAGAATGGGCCAGCATGTTTATAATTAAAAAAAATCCATGTAATTTTCATATTTTTATAAAGAAAACCTTCTTTTACTCTTCTGTTTTTTAAGTTTATATTGAGAAATTTTTATAAAGATTTACGCCTGGAGGGTGTATTTTATTTATTTATTTATTTTTAGTTTTTGTATTATATTCAATGTTTTTATAAAATCATTAGATTTTAGCTAAACGATGGCACTCATCAAGTGTCGAAACTAGTACAATTAATACATATTTATTTTGAGTATTTATTTTTTATTCGAAGTATAAGCTGAAAAAACACCTTTAATATAAATAAATAAATATATATATATATATATATATATATATATATATATATATAAGATAAGTCCTGGATTTTTTCAATATATCGATTGTTGCTTTTCCGAACAGTAAATCCAATAATAAAAAACAATTTGTTTTTTGAAGACGTTTAATAACGACGTTTCGGAACTAGGAACGTTCCATCATCATGTTTGTTCTGTCAAAGACAATGTTTTTTAAAACTATTGACTAACATTAATTAATGATGGTTATTACAGATTATTTACAAAAAATTATAAAGGAATGGATTATGTACCAGTGTAAAGAGTAAAGAAAAGTTACTAAAAAAGGTTTTATATAAAATTGAGAAGCAAAAATTATATACCTGTAATAATTTATATATTCATATCAATAACATTTTTTGTTAAAAACACTCGATTTTTTTGAGGATATTTGTAGATGTTACGACTTCACAAGACTTAACATATATATAAATAATTAAATCGGTTTCTATTATTTTCAAATGGAAGGCATTAGGCGTTAACAGGTAGCATATAATAAGTTAAGAGCATTAGCAATAAATTCTTCCGGAGTTACCTGACCATCAGCTCTGTCTTATTATTACTCTTAAGATAGGATAGAGATAGACATTAGAACGGAAAAGTGAAATAAATTCTAATCGAGGAGACATTTATCTTATTTGAAAAAAAGCAAAAATAAACTGGGAAATAAATAAATCGACGTCAATAAATACACGTCAAGTGCTTCCTTCCGTCCTTTTCAGGAACGACCTGAAAATTACCCACAGTAATAAATTTTGAATTTCGTAACCCTAAAAGAAATTTTACGCTTGGAGGAAATTGGATTTGAAATCAAATATAGGAAAAAATCGATATTTTTCATTATTTGTTTAATTTTAATAGAATTGTCTATAATTGACTCCATTTTCCCGATATTCACAGCCTAAAAAAATATATTTTGATTGACTTTTGAATGTATGAAAAAGTTAATTATATTTTTAATAATATCATTTTTTAATTATTGCATTTGACTTGTACTATATTTGCATTTTTGAAAATTATCTTCAGGTTTAAATGAGTAATAAATTTTTACTCTCACAGTCTTAAAAGAAACAGAATTTGAAATCGAATAAATATAAATTCTGAAATTACTATAAGAAGTCATGAACGATAAAAAAGGATTTGGGTAAAAAGATTTTTGACCCGTCATTACATCCTTTTTTAATATTTTTTAAACCCTAAATCTTGTAAAAATTTTTAATA